ATATCTAATAATCTTTTCGTGAGATAATTCACGAGAAAAATATCAGCAGAAGTAATTTTTAGATACAAATAGATTGAAAGACACTTTATTCATGACAATAAATTTCTTATAATTAGCTGAAGCTTTTTAATTACATTTGCACTGAGAAGAGCCTCTTATAACAAATTATAGAATTATCTATATAAACCGATTGTATATATACAAGTCTGATGTTTCTTTTTAGATTTCAAGGAATATAATTTCGCACATATAGTAATATCGTAATTGAATAGACAATGAATTGTGTTTATCTCTAATTAAATGATACATAAAGTACATAAAAACCTGAAAAAATGGATTCTTAGATATTTAATATTTTCAGTAGTATTACCCAATAATACACGAACTTTCTTCTAAGTGTTTCATGAGCATGTCATCATTAAAGAAATTAAAGGACAAATATATTCTGTATATACAAATACAAAACTAATATAATTGCTTAAATCATACATGTATATTGTGTAGACATGCATTTTACGTGGAAATATATTATTATGGCCTATACAAGAGTTGAGAAAATACAGGAATTAGTTTCTTGTTTTCTAAAAAATATCGTGATGCCGTGATCGTCTGTCGTACTGTACATTTCGTGAGAATACACGATAGTTTTTGCTTCATCTTTAAACTCTTTGCGCCATAAACGGCGTTAGAGGACCCATCTGCCCTAAGCCTACTTGAATGTGCTGCATATGAATTTCTACGCAGTTTTGAAATACTTGCTGATTCTCCGGACTGAGTTTTGATCTTATTTGTTCCATGGTACCTTGCAATACTTTGAGCTCGTATGCGTTTTGATCGGAATCCGATAAGCTCTGCGTTAGAGAAAATAATGGTTTTAGTATCAGACAAGTGAGGAGCAAAATAAATTTAGCAAAAATATCCATTTATACTTACTTTCACTTGTAACATCAACGCAGTCAAATCCGTCACCAATTGAGTCATTTTTCCTGGTCCTTTATCGTTTATTATATTATTTTTAGCGACCATATCTGTCGCTTCTTGCTTGCACTTCTCTCGGAGATGTGACGGTGCTAACATCGCCGCCACGCTCGGTTCGGGCGCCATTTCTTGACACAATTCTTGTATCTCGTTCAAAAAATCTTGGAGAGCTCCATTCATTCTCTCCAATTCAACAATAATTCTGGAAATGACAATATAGTACATTAAAGACACCACGATACATTATATTTAAATTAGGTATCCCTTAAATATTTTTTATCAACAAAATGTTTTATGTATTTAGCTAATCGTACCCTGCGTATTTTTTTTCAAAATCGGGAGGAAGCGATTCACCTAAGGAGCGTCTCTTCTCAGCTTCCCCATTCATCTCTTTCAATTTCTTGATTTTACTCTTCTTAGTTAATAATATTTTGTTCACTTTGACCATAAGTTCGAGTAACTTGAGCGGAAAACCATTCACCATACCACCAGTATTCGTCTTTTTCGGAATGGATACAGAGGCATTGGATATCAAAGGATCATTGGTCAATCGTGGGGATAATTTCATCATGTACGGTGGTGAAGGTACATATTGCAAAGGCCGCGGTCTAAACTTTTGAGAGAATGATGCCAAGCTGATCGTTTCCGGTGGTTCATTCGACTAGTAGAAATAAATTGTACATTAATATGTGAACGTAATCGTGAATTTTTATCGGAGAGAAAGAGAGATCAAGTAACATACCAAAACTTCATAATCAGGGACACT